ATGGCCTAAATTCTTAATCTTGTGCTCTAGCATTAATCACAATCAGAGTGCCATATTTGCCATATGAAGGGGTAGAAGCTGAAATCTGTGCTTCTATTGACTGCGAGCAATTATTTCACAAGCTTTGCTTAGACTGCCTGTTCAGAGCTTCTAGTTAAGGCCACCACAGTTAACTTTGCCTCTACTGTGGTGATTCATAGGACGCAACCTTATTGTTGGTTTGCTTTGACGTTTTAAAGCTCAATCATTTGCTTACATTAATTTTATTTCAATGTTTGTTATGTTGGTCTGACAATTTTACCCTCAAAAGTGGGTCAATGATTTTCTTAGGAATGTTAGAACTTATTTTACATTTTTGCCCTATCTGTACATTATGGTACAAATATTTAGTTTAGCAAACAAAATGTACATTTTGTGTTCAAGTGCTATGATCTTTGTTTGCACAATAAAAGTTTGCTCACTCACCTGAATGTAACTGTCTTTATTCTCCATGCTTATTCTCAGCATTTACAACTATCACAACCTTGGTTTTCCAGCAAAGAAAATGTACTCAAATATTAGATATGCATAGCAGCATTTATGTAGCTAGTAGAAAGTAAAGCCAACAATGGCTGTGAAGTAAGAGTGGAAATGTAATTGATGACTCTGTACATACTGTCCCTCAGTTGCACAAATATTATTCTTAAATGTTAAGTTTTTATAATGGAATAAAGTTGTCATGGGACAAACCTTTACATGTATTGATAGCAAGAAGTTGAAGTGAATGTCAATCCACCATTTCTTACATAAAATTCAAATTTTAGCAGAATTTTTGATTTTGCCACTTGCCAAAGTGTGTGGTCTCTAAAGTCACAGTCTACTCAGAAATAAAATAACTTGTTAGCTGCTCACTACCTGCTTGAAGTTATTTCCACTAACAGTTGAATCATTCAAGTTAATTGTGATTTCATTGTCAGCTGTAAGTTTAAGTTCGAGCTAGAAAACACAAATTAGTGAGCCTGAGCCTAGAACTTAAACGTATAGTCAAGAAAACCAAAAGTGTTTAGGATATGGTCCTTCTCACAAGTATTTGAAAAGGTTCCGTTCATGCTAAGTTTTGCTCATGGAATAAAACTTTCACACGCAACAACACTAATACATGTATTGATAGCAAGGAGTTGAAGTGAATGTCAACGCAACATTTCTTACATAAAGTTCAAATTTTAGTAGTATCTTTGATTGTGCCCCCTGCCAAAGTATATCGTCTCTAAATTAAAAGGCTTAATTAAGCCATAGAAATAAAATAACTTGATTACTGCTCACTACCTTGAAGTCATTGTAACTGAAAGCTGCATGTATTTAGTGTTTGGAGTAGTTTCTCTGTTGGAAAACAAAGGTTGTAATATTTGGAAACGCTGAGCAAAGGCAAAGAGAATAAGGACAGTTACATTCAATTGATTGAGCAAACTTTTATTGTTATGCAACACAGATCATAGCACTTACACATAAAATTTTGGCTCAACTACATTATACTTTAATGTACAGAGAGGAATGTTAGAACTTTTTACATTTATACCTAAGAAGATCATTGTCCCACTTCAGGGCAAAATTGTCAGACCAATAAAAATGAAATTAAGCAAAAGATTGAGCTCTTAAATTTAAAGCAAAACAGGTAAAGTATCGCCATATGATCCACCACAATAGGGACAAGTTTTCCTGCTGCGATAGCGTTGATTAGAGGCTCTGAGCCAGCGGTCTAAGCAAAGCCTGTGAAATAAATGCCCGCAGTCAGTAAGAGCATAGACTCCAGCATCTTTCCCATCATGGCAAATATGGCACTCTGATTTTTCATCTGAAAAGATAGATATTAGATATGTATTAGAACCAAAGCGAACAATGGGCCAATAGAATTTAATTAAAAAGAGCTTACCTTTCTTTTCAGATTCTTCTTGCTGGCCACCGTTTTGCTTCTTAACTTTATTTTTGCTTCCCTTTGGACGCCCAGGTCCACGCCTCTTATTCTTTGTCTTCTTTTGACGGGGGGAGTTAGCACGGTAAGAGTCATCATCACGCGTCTTCTTAGCCTTCTTTGTAAGGGGGGAATTGACGCGGTAAGAGTCATCATCAAAACCTGTATAAGGGCACACAGAACCTTCCATCAAATGCTTGGTAAAAACTATGCAAAAATCCAAACGGCATGAACTGCATCCATTTCAATCTTTCAAAAGTGAAAGTAATAGGAGTGACCATAGAACTTACCTTGGGATAAGGTAGAGGAGAGCTCGCGCCTTCTTTTGGAAGCAGCACACTGCTGATTGCGACTCATGTTATCTTCGTCAGCTGAGGGGCATGAATCACGAGCTGGTTCATGTAACTGCTGCATATGTTGCTGAAGATCTGTACAGTAGCATCCACTTCATTAGGTAAGCACAAATACAGGGATATTAAGAAGAGAAGAATAGAAAGAAATATACCTTTAGCGTCTGAGACACTCAGAAACAAAACAACAGCACCCAAATTAGCCCCCTCAGCAGAGGGGATATGTTTTGCCAGCAACTTCCACAGACCGCCTGAACAACAAACATGTAGTTAACATGGAAGCACATGCAAATCATAACAAAAAATATCACAAAACTGCAAGACATACCATGAGTGTCTGGAGTACTCCGGAACATCACAAGACCAGCACCAAAACTAGCCCCAGAGGAGCGCATTGACTGAGTTGTCAAGGGAGAGTCAAGAGGCGTTGAAACAGCACCTGGCCTGGACCAAGAACAGGGACTTGATATGTCCGACAGCCCTACCGACATGTAG